TTTTGTGAGTTTTAAACCCAGTTTGCTTTGCACATTTTTAGTTGTTGCATGTCCTATTACGGGGCTAACGGATGGATTTTAGTATTACAACTACAGCACTTTGGTTAAAACTTACTGTGCTGTTAAACTTACTGAACACATACATTTGAGTTCTTGTGCTGCACAGCAAGTGTGATTCTAACAGTTTTAATACATTTTTGATGTTGGCTTTTGAATGCCATGTGAAATACAGTTGTTTCACGTGTTCTATTTCTACTAGAACATTACTAAAGTGCAGGCTCTCAATATGTTTTTTTTTCTTTTTCTTTTTACCTCTGCTCACAGCTAACTGTGTGTTTGGCTTTGAGCATTTCTCTCCGCATATAAGCCCACTGCGTTCACAGGAAGATGCTCTTTTCTGACAGCGTAAATGTCAGGTGTATAATGTAAATGCAATTATTCCCTGTGTGTCCGGGCTCGCGGTAGGAGGGACTCTGTTGCCATGACAATGACGTCAATGTTGGTGTCGAGTAACCAAAGGTCAAAATAAAGACAAGTGAATGAAAACGGAAGGAAACTTAACAGGCTGCCCAGAATAGGACACAACAGGAGCAAACCAACTCGAACGTAAAACCTACTCGTTTGCAGCGGCTGTTGACGCAGTGTTGTGTGGGAACAACCGTTTTTATCCGCCGGTAAGGAGACGTCAGACAGCAGAAGGTTAGGGTCACAGACAAGCTAACAGCAGCTAGCTGTGCCAGCGAGCTAGCTGTAGCCTAGGTCGTTGGCTAACAGGAGCTAGTGCTAACACCTACCACATTATATTGTTTGCTTTGGCAGGCTGCCTGACAAGACAAAGTTACTTTTAGCGGTTCGCCTGCGATACCGATTACCGTACGGCAGTTGACGCTTGTTACTGAAGGCTATCCTGCTAGTTAAGTTAGCTTTTTCTGTGTTGCAGTGAGTCAGATAGGACACAGTAGCTGGCCTTGCAAAAGTGTGTTTCCCAGCTGTGTCAGTTAACTTTACTGACAATACAGTACCGTTATACTGCATTATGCTGTCAAATAACCGAGCAGCGAAACGCTGGGCTATAGCTAATGTCATTTAACCTTTGCTGCAAGTTAATGTGACATAGCAAGCTAGCTTGGTACTCTTTCCAAAGCAGTGCAATGAGGGCACACAAACAATGTTTTTTCCTTTAGTTTTTTTACTCGTAAATTAGAGGAACACTTGGCTCATAAATCATTACACTTTATAGATGCTTGGCAGTGAACTTGCAGCTGAATACCTTTGTGTCTTGTCATTGAAAGCTGCCCTCAGCATGATTGATTAGCATGCAAGACTTGTGCAGCATATTACACATGAAGTCATGCTAACTTTTCCTCTTAAGTTTTTATTGTGATTTGTTTGCTGTTATTTTTATGGGCATACAAAAAGACATGCAGTAATAGATTTGATGCTGGATTCACTACAGATATTGATCAGTCAGATGGCCTGTTCCCATACTGTTCCCTGCTCTTTCTACATTGTGTTTCACATTATTATGTAATGATGTATTGGTAGGATTTTAGTAAAGAAAAAATCTAGTTTTTAGCTATGGATGGCAGTTTTTGCTTGTCTTTACTTCTCAGGTGACGTTAATTAAAGGAGACCTACTTAGAGCAGTTCCGCATTATCAAGCAAGTCACAGTTCTCACGCGATATAGGGAGGGGGAGACATCTCTGTGAAGGTGAAAAGCCTGACATAGTGCAATGTCCTGCAAGAGGCATGAAAACCATGGATGTTTCACGATAACTGAAGAGGGATCATCTAACAATGAAAATATACGGGAGAGACTCAGAACACAGGTGTGTTTAGTTTGCTAAAGAATTATTAAGTAAAGTTTCAGATAGGCAAATTAACTATATTCAAAGTTTACCTGTCAGAAAGCCACTATTGAGCGGGAATCAGGTATTTGAAACTGCCGGTGCCTTTAAATTCCCGAAGAACCCCTTGCAGGATCCTCCGCAGCCTGGCAGTTGTGTGTGGACCTACGTTTTCCCACCTCTTCGTGGGGTTAAACATATGTAAAGACTACTTTCCCAGCTGTTTAATCCACCAGTGAATGCAGATTACACCTGATGGTCTCGATGGACGGAGTTCTGGGTGGTTAGCGGAAGGCCGCCCTGCTTCAACAAGACTGCAACAACAGGAGGAAGTGTGGCGGAGTGGCGACCTGGACTGGATCCCTGATCAACATGGCCTCTGTAAGCCATGTGGAGCCCCTAACTGACTGTTTCTGCCACGGTATAAAAAGAAGAGTGAGAACGATGGGACTTTCACGCAGGGCCAGGCTGCACAATACACTGTTCAGGCCTTTATGGTTGTTATGAGAATAAAAGGAGAAAAATCATAGTGTGGTCACCATCATCCCCTGACCTCAACTCTATTGAGGACCTGTGGAGCATCCTTAAAAGACAGATCTACGATCGCGGGCAACAGTGTACCACAGAACAGCAGCTCTGGGAGGTGATAGAGGCGTCTTTACATGAGACAGATGCAAGAACTATATAGAGACTTATGAACTGAATGATCTGTGAAGGTGATGTCGCAGAAAGTGATCTACAAATTCCATTCACGCTGAATATTTTGTATCATTTTCAGTATTCCTAGTTAACAGTAGTAGCTAGTGGTTAGTTAGTTGTAGTGAAAATGTTCTCATTGTTGAAGGTTTTATAAAATCCTCAACAGTGCCAACTCTTTAAAGGAATTGCATCAGCATAATAATTAGAACACAGTGTAAAGTTACGCTTGTGGGTGCATTGCTGAACGCCTGCGTGATAGGGGCATCGCAGTTTAGTAAATACGGGTTCAGCATTAGTTGGCAACACTTTGTCTCTGACTGGGTACATTATCATCTGTGACTGAGGTTACAAATGCACCGGGTAGTTTGGGGCTGTAAACATCCCCGACTGGAAGCTGTCTATCCACAGAGCTTTCAGTCCGATGTTTGCGGCCGCCGACTGCCTCGCGCGCCGTACAAACTTTGGAGCTCTGCGTTTTGGTGGCTTATATCCGGCGTAACAAACAGTTGTTCTGGCTCAGTTCATGTAAACATCCTACACTCAGCTGTGATCAGTTGCAGTGGAGGCTGAGAGAAGGTTGTTTACTTGCACTGGCTGAGAGTGACACTCAGCAGAGAGCCTGCAGTCTCATCAAGGTCAAACACCACACACTCATCACGTGCAGAGGATTAGTGGATCGACGGGGGAAAAAATGCATAATAATGTTGATGTCATTGTCGTATGTGTAATGCGATAATCCGTTTGGGATTTATTCAGAGCGTTTAAACTACTTGAAGACACCACCTTTGATTCGACACTTGTACGATGCAGGATTAAGCGTCTGATATAATGCAATTAATGAAACTAATCAGACAGTTTAATGATGAAGAAAATGCAAATGTGACATGTGTGAGCCATGTGTGTCACCTTGTTTCCTCGGTGTTGCACAGGGGTGTGATGCTGTTATGTTTTTCTGCCCGAGGCAAAACAAAAGAGACGGTCTCGTACAGTGAGCCTTGCCAAAGTGAGTGTTTAGCTGTCGGTGTTTGGTGTTGATGCTGGCATGAAAACTGCAACTTAAAGATGTCATGTGATCACTGCCATGATATTTCTTTTTGTCTCGTAGAAGGTGTGCTGGATAAACCGCATTCCTGGGAATAGGAAACAAGTGGTTGAACATAAAGTCATTGTGTGGTAGGTGGACGATGCAAAATCTAATTTTATATAACTTCAACGCTGCCTTTGGTGAATAGCTCTACTAGGTTGGGAAGACGTTAAAAGGTTTGAGGCAGAGAATAAGCTGCGTCTCGGCTCCATCAGATTTCTCGTTCCTGCTTTCATGTTGACCTCTTAAATAGACTTCTATAAATAGAGGCTCTGGTTTAGTGCCTGTCAGAGCAGTCTAATTTCTGGATTCATCCATTAATCAGCAGGAGAAGGTAGGAGTGTGAGTAGAGGAGATGATTATTTTTGTATCCTGGTGTTACTCCAGTGTTTTTCTTAAGTGTGAAGTTAGTTTCTGGAGTTATTGTGCTGCTAATATCTGTAAACGTAGGTATGCAACTTTTAAAAAAGTGTGTTAATTCATTGGCTTTTGTTTGTTTGTTTGTGTAAAATATTTGAATGTGTTGCCTGTTTAACCTGTTGGAATCAATAAAAGTGACACTGAAAATCAAATAATTCTGCTTTTTTTGAGATCTTTCAGAGTTTTGAAATGTAATAAGCAACACACACAGTCTAATACATGTAAGGTGAATCAAAATATTATTAAAATGATTTGCCTTGTTGGCTGTAAGACAATAAAACAGTGATTACTGTATTTCCAACATGCAGATTGTCAGTGCTGCAAGTGCTGTGTTTTCACCCCTAGATGTCACACTTGTGCTTTTAGCTTTTCTGTCACCTACAACTCGCATTCATTGGTGAGTTATCCAGCCGCTGTCTTGGCCTTTTTTTTTTCACCATAACATGCATAATATGGATATGTGTGCTGCAGTTATGACTTTATAAACTGTGGCTGAAATGTCCAAATGAAAACATGCCACGATGATGATGATGATGATGATGAATACTTCTTTGAAAACGCAACCAGAGCTCTTGATTCCAGGCCTTTCATGACTGGTTATCAATCTTCACAGAACTTAAGTAATATGTGCAGAGAAATGGCAAATCAAACATGTCTCCTTTCCTTTTTGTCCACTTGAATTTGTGAGGTAGTGTGACAATTTGATCTTTAAATACACGTTAAAAATCTAATTAAGAAATTTTTAAAAAATCGAATTTTTATATTCATGGTTAGAAAAGTGTCAAATTTTTCCAATTGTGCACAAAACTCTTTGGAGCTGTTCGACTGTTGAGTTAATCCTCATTTCAGTCGGTCGTGGCTTTAAAGGACAACGATCAGATCAGTGTGACCGCTGCACAGACGCTTTGTTGACTGTTAAAGGGGCCTTAAAATGCAGTTTTATTCAAATGATATGATGCAACAGATGACAAGGGAGCGACAAGGACGGGCTGCTGGATGCTGCCACGCTGATTAGGAGCGTAGCCAGGCACCACGACGCCACCATTTGTCGTTTAAGGAATCCCTTCAGACAGCATGGCGCGACAGACGATGTGCCGCATGATGCTCTTCATGTCTGATCCTGTCCCAGAAAATGTCGGCCAACCTCGTCGAGCCCTCCAGGAAGTGGCGGGACAACATGTCAAGAGCAGCATCGTCAACCTCATTAACTGTGTGTGTCGCAGATGTGTAGTCGTACAAGATGCAAATGGTGGACACAGTGACTTGTGATATCTGACTAATGACTCCATATCATTGGTAGTGTAGTTCTATTTGGTTGTTTCATTCTGTTGTAGAGATGCTGTGTGGTGAAGCAAGAAGTACTTATGGTGAAAAAGGGTGAATTTACTAAAATATTTCATGCTACACACATTTTTGTTCAGTGTGTTTTGGGAAGTATTGCCAAGTTAATGGAGATTTGGCAAG